TGTGTGTGTGTATACATATACATATGACATTCTAGAAATGGCAGAACTCTAGACATGGTAAACCGATCAGCTATTGCCAGGGATTTGGAGGGAAGGGAAAATATGATCTCTTTGGGAAATCGAATAGGTGAAGCTCGGGAGATTTTTTAGGATAGTGGGAGTGTTTTGTATGATGCTGCAGGGGTAGATGTGTGACATTGTACATTTGTTAGAAACTTACGGAACTTTACAGAACAAAGGGAACCTTAATTCAAGTTTAGGAGGTCCGGTGATCCCAGGATGGAATACAGACTGTGACAGATCAAACTGTTGGRGTGAGGGACACTGGGCTAACTTCAGAAATGAGTGGAGAATAAAGGCAAACAGAATTGGACCTAACTACTCTAGGTGATAGTTATTTCCCATTGAGGGACTGGTTAACAATTTTGGAACCACTGTATGTTAGAATTGACAAGACAATGGATAGTAGATGATAGGGAAACAGGTTTCTCACTGTTTGGGAATTCACAGATATAAACAAGGAGGGAGGTTAGAGTGATCCATGTGGTTGGWGACATCAGTATATACTCATATTTAGCTTAATATAGATACAGATGCTATATAYAGAAGTTTTCAGAAATGTGTTTATACATGCTTTAACATACATGGCTTTATTCTCTTGCTGTGTCAGCTGGGAGGGCCTAGAAGCAAATACTCCAGTAATAGTGAGCAAGCACATTAGTGCCCTGTTGGAGGATTTTTTTTTCTTTTTTTCCTTTTTTTTTTTTTTTTTCCTTATCATTCCTTAGTAAAAGGAACCAGGACTCCTTGGAGAAATGGCTGATTSTAGAACTAGAGCAGAAAATATACAAGATGAGCCTGGAGCATCTTATAATGCCAGATTATAAGGAAGAGCTTTTTAAAAAAATTCCACAGTGAAAGGGTTCCCAAAGGCCAAAGCTGGAACAATTTGTGCAACAAAATAAAATTCTGGGTTATCTAAACAAAAGTGAATTATAACATAAAATATCTGTGAGTCCATGCTGATACAAGCAAATGATTGAATCAGTAAGTAGGAGAGGCAAACCCTTAGAGGTTCACTGTGTGCTGGGAGGGGGCTGAGGAGGAGGGGGACTTATCAGAGGCCTGTGAAGAGTACCACCAACCTGAGGAAAGGTTAACTGCACTAGAAATACTCCAGTGGAATAGCACATCTCTRAAGATTAGTCAAGTATGTTTTTAGTGGAAGAAAGCTTTCCTGAGAGAAAGATGGTTTTGTGGATTAGAAAGGGGAGCCTTGGGTTTAAGCAAACATCAGTGAATGTCATTAAGTTTTTGTATCACAAGTTTTTAAAACTTAAAAATCCTAAACATATTATGGAAGAAAAAAACAAAGAAATAACTGACCTGGAATTTCTGAGGAGAAATCASGATTAAAGATTTCACACTAAGGCAATGTGGCCAGTACATGCAGTGGTTTGTGACACATCAAGTAGCCCAGCTATATGTGATTGTTACATGGGGTTTGGGATGAAAACTTCATAAGAAGTTGAAAATTTGGGGTGATTCTGCCTATGTAAGGGAAGCTAAAAGTATAGGAGTCGAATTTTAAAATCAAGCAGAAAAGAAAGACCTGTAACTTAGTGGATGTAGAATCATGAGTCTTTTCAACTATCTACCGTGGTATATTTATACTGATTATTTTTCATGAATGTATTTAACTCCCTATTGATGGAGATAAGGTTCATGAGGGTTTTTTGTTTGTTTTTTTTTTTTGCCATTAAAAGTGATCAGTGTGCACCCTTTGTGCCTTTGTGAAAGAGAATCCAGCTGTGTAAATTCATGGAAGTAGAATGAGTAGGTTAAAGGACATATGCATTTTGAATATATATAAGCACTGAAATTTCCAATATGACATTTGTCCTTTGAATTTATTTCAYGCCATATATATTTTTAAATTTTATATGGTTATATTGATAAATTTCCTTATTCCTTCTAGGTTTTATATCATGTTTGGAAAGACATTTTCTTAGAAATTTTTTTCCCATATATTGGCACACTATTATATATAATAGTGGGATTCATTGTTATATGTCTGTAAATGCATACTCTTCAATCATTTTTAAAGAGGCTGGGGCTCAGAGGTAGCACACTTGCCTGGCATATGTGAGGCTTTGGGTTCAATTCTCAGCACCATATATAAATAAATAAAATAAAGATCTATCAACAACTAAAAAAAATTAAAAATTTTTAAAAAAGAAATTAGGGCTGAGGATGTGGCTCAAGCAGTAGCGCACTCGCCTAGCATGCTTGCAGCCCGGGTTCAATCCTCAGCACCACATACAAACAAAGATACTGTGTCCGCTGAAAAACTAAAAAATAAATATTTWAAAAAAATTATTTTTAAAAGATAAATGTAAAAAATGTTGACATTATAAAGCCAAGACTTTAAAGAGTAATTGAATAACTGAGGAATGGTTGAATGAAAGTTCTGAAAGAAAACTATATGTTGGTGTTTTCTAGGTTTTCTYATTAATTTCTTGAAAGAATTGGCAGAATATCATCAAGCTAAAGAGACTTGTGATATGGAAACTCAGACAAGTTCAACATGTCCTAACAAAGACTCACTTGGTAATTATAGCCTTCTTAATTTTTGTTGTTTTCTTTTGGAATAAAGGAAATGACCTCATATTGTATGGTTCTTCCTTGAACTGGAGAGATGGAACCTGTAGGTGACAAGGAAATTCATTTCTTCTGGAATCATGTTGCTRGAAGGGACCAGGAATTGCTCTCTGGTCATGTTCTCTATCATGAATGCCAAAATCATGCAGGGATCCCAAGGTCCACATTCTTCCTTGTTTGTTGGGTTTAACCTCTCTTAACTGGGAGGTTCTTCCTTGGTTGTTGTCTAGCTTTGAGTTGGACTGTCATAGATTATTGAGTTGGACTGTCATTGAGTTGGACTGTCATAGATTATTTGCTTTGCCAATGGCTAGAGATATCATTGGTCCATCACTTCCCTTTATAGTTGAGGAAACCAAGGTCTTCAAAGAAAAAGCAATTGGAAACTCCCAGACTGGGTAAGAACTCCAATTTTTCCAGTCCATGATCTAGACCTTTTGTCACTATRCAGCGTTTCTGCAATACCATCCTGTCCTTTAGTTTGGTACTTATTAGTGATGGAAAACAGCTATTTAAACTGATGCATTCAATCAGCTTCTTGGTCTGTCCTGCTTACCTTGTAAGAAGRTAAGAAATTCATTATTTGTAAAAACTGTATTGTATGAGTAAGCCTTTAAATAAGTGTAGGTTTCATTTCATTAGAAACACATTATAAAGCAGTACTGTCTGAWAGCATGAGCCACATATGTAATTTTAAATTTTCTAGTAGCTACATTTACAAAGTAAAATGGGCCAGGCATGGTGGTGCATGCCTGTAATCCAAGCAGTTCAGGAGACTAAGGMAGGAGGATTGAGGGTTCAAAGACAGCCTTAGCAACCTAGTGAAGCCGTAAGCAACTCAGCTAGACCCTATCTCTAAGTAAAATATAAAAAAAGGGCTGGGGATGTGGCTGTGGTTAAACACCCCTGAGTTCAATCCCTGGTACAAAAAATAGAATAAAATTTTTTAAAAAGGTAAAATGGGTAAAATTCATTTTAATAATGTATTTTATTTACCCAGCATATCCAAWATATTTCAACATGTACTCAATATAGAAAAAATTAATGAGATACTTCACTTATTTTACATGTGAATTCTTTGAAATCTAGTATATTTTTTACACATAAAGCAAATCTCAATTTAGCTTGGTCACATTTCAAGTACTCAGTTGCTACACATGGCTAGAAGGTCCTGTCTTGGACTTTTAAGTTACAGAACATTTGGAAAATACAGAAAAGTAGCTGGAAAAACATGTCTAAAGATATGCCTRTCAGAGATAAATACTGTTGATATTTTTATTTATTTCTGCCAGCCTTATTTCCCSTGTGCATGATTTTTTGGTGCTCTTAGGACCTTACAGGGGTGGGATTGTACTCTAGGCTTCAGATTTGCACTCTGCTGTGTTGCTGGTTTTGCTCTATATTTGATTTGAGGGCTACAGGCCTTGCTTTAGTCCCAGTTATACTATAGTTGCTTAACCCTCTGGAAGTCCCTTAAACTATTTGGGCAGTTGTTCCTTATCTATAAAGTGGACGGGACAAAATACATGATCTTTCATTCTTTTTAAGTTGCTGTTTTAAATGTGTATGTCAACTTGAATCAAAAGTTCAATAAAAGCTCTCTGCCTTGGCACATAGAAACTAGAAAAAGAATACAGTAATTTCTGACTTACTCTTTGCTCCCCCCCCCCCAGCATTTTACACTGAACACTTGCATACCCACGGTCTACCAAGAAATCTATATTATACTTGCTTAATATCGTTTATTGATCTATCTCAAGTTTTTTATGTGTTTCAATGTAAATGTCAGCATCCCTACATTTATACTATTTGTTTTTGGCTTCTTGCACACCTGACCAAGTTTATGTATCCTAATCTGATGTGTTGTTTTTTTAATAGCTGAGAAGCTTCAGCTTATCGATGATCAATTTGCAGATGCTCATCCTCAGCATCCAAAGCTAGAGTCTTTAGAAATGAAGCTAAATGAATATAAAAAAGAAATAGAACAGCAACTTCRAGTAGAGATTGGTCAAAAGGTAAGCTGCATCTCTTGCTGCTTTTAACAAGCATGATGTTTTTGCTTGTCTTCTAATGTCTTAGGTATGTGGGGAAAACATCTAGAACCTTTTGGAAAGACTGGGATACTATCCCATTAGGCATATTATTTTTATTTCCAGTTGATGTCATTGGTTCATGCCTTTTGACTGACTCCTACAGGTACAGTCATTGAATAAAATGAATAAAACTAAGTATGTTATAGTTTGGACAGAACATTAATGTTAAACCTAACCATTAAAAGAATTTGTTACTATTTCCTTAGGATAGTAACTGTATTTTTTATTTTTTTGTGATCAATTTGCAGTTGAAGTATTTTAAAGAAACTGAAATAGCAAAACTTAAAATGGATGAGAAAAGGAAGTAYGAGAAGGAATTATCTGAGTTCCGAAACGAATTTAAGAGGACTTATCATGCAAAAAATGAAGCCCTCATTTCTCGCGAAAAGAATGCTCTTAAAAGAATTCAGAAGCACCAGGAGGTAATATTTGAAAGTAGTTTACCATGTGGCTATTTCCTGCAGCTGTTGGTAGGTTGGTTCAAGAGCGAGGAACAAGGTGGGGACAGTTGATGGAACAAGGCCCTAGATAAGTAGTGAGGACCATGACCAAGGGTGCAAATGGAAGCACCAGCCTTGTCAAGCTACAGAGACTTTTTCCTCCCAGATGGCAGATAGGAAAGAGTTGCAGGGTGAACATCCACTCTGAGATGGAGACACTCATCTTCTCAGGCACAGTGTAGGKTTAGGTAGGAGTTCAAGGAGAGGCTCGCGTAGACGTTTGCGTGGGTAAAGGGGAGCAGCTATTTAAAGCAGGGAGGACTGGTTTGTGTTGTCCAAGACCCAGCTGAAACAGGAGCCTGGAAGTGAGAGAGACYAAAACATGTGCTTGGAGGTGAGTTTTCTATTCTAGTTCTTTAGAGGGTTTATAATTTATGAGCACYTTTATTTTTCTATGCCTTTTGGTGAAGATAGAAACAGAGGCGTTTGTGCAGAGGTTAATTTAATTGACTTGAGAAAGGCAGCCTGTTGAATTAAATAAAGATCTTGTGACTCTACTGGGTGGTGAAGGGAGTCAGGATAATTGGTGGCTTCTGACCTAGGGGAAAAGGGAGGGCTATGAGGCATTCTTGAAGTGATCCAAAGAATAGGCCAGAGAGACTGGTAGGTGGAAGAAGGGTAGACCAAGTGTTCAGAKTTGCAAGGTGAGGTTTCAGGTGGAGACTAGAAACAAAATGCAGTGTGCAGCCATCAGAGGAAGCTACAGAAGTGAGCAAAGGTGAAAGTCCTTGGAGCAGAGTCATCCAGGGCTACAAGGTCATCCATGCAGGAAAACGGGGAAAGTGATGGGACAGGAGGTGAAATTAAGGAATGGCAGGAGTGTGTGTCTGTAGGAGGGATTGGATCTGCTTCTTTAGGAAAACATGTTCCTTTCTTAAGGTCATGTCTTAGGCCAGTCCGGATTTGCAAAACTGTTTGCAGTGTGCATCCAGAACTGCTGTTGTCAGGAGACAAGTAGGATAGGGTCCACCCTGGCATCAGGCTTGTCTTTAGGCCCCTGTTATTTAGTACTAAGTGGATTCCCTCTACAATTCTGTGCAGCATTTCTTGAGAATTGGGCTGTAATAATAAATGTTGGAAGCACAGATTTTTAAGATACTGGATTGGGTTTAAGACTAACAGGTTCCTTTTGTAGACAGGTAACTGACTAAATTCCCATTTACTTATTATCTGAGGGTATTGAGGAAGATTGCCATTCACATTAAAACATTGTGCCTTTATTTTTTTCACCTGGAATGCTGTCTACTTTAGTCTCTTTGATCATTCTGTCCTTCAGAGCCTTAGCATGAATGTCACCTCATTATGTCTTTCCTAACTCCCACTGAATAACTCGTTCAGGCCTCATTCCTGTATAGTTCTCATGTATTTCGGCTTTAAGATCATCACATCCTCAGTGACTGTCTCTCTCTCCTTGACCAAGTTGTGAGATTCTTAAAGATGGGAACTCTGTCTGCCTTTTTTATGTCCAGCTTCTATTACACTGCTTGACATTTGATAGGCAAATGGTATATCCTTGTTCAGTGAACTCGTAAGTGGAAGGATGGCCCATTCATTTGGAAGTTCATATGAACTTGCACCGAGTCAGAATGACCCATGAACTGAAACATTCAGATGGCTCTACCATCAGCAAGTTACCATGGGATTGTACTCTTTGGGAGTTTCATTGCTGAGTGTACATTTGTTTTAAGTTTTTTCTTGCTTGAAGAACTTATCCAAATTTTAAATAAGGGACTAAGAGATAATAAAGAACTAATTAGACAAGRGATATTAGAAATATAGGGTAATATAGTTTAACAGTCATTAGGGGAGTAGTTTTTATACAACTAGAACAAACATACCTTGAGATGAAATCTATCAAAGGTGAAATTGTCAACAGGAATGTCTGTACTTTCATTGTTTTCTGGAGTTTAGAAAGCGGTGTATGAGTTTCAGTCTATTTTCTTTTGCTTACTTGCTAAAAATTAATGTTTTCCTATACAGACTGAAGCAAAAGAAATTTATGCTCAAAGGCAGCTTCTACTAAAAGATACAGATCTGCTAAGAGGCAGAGAAGCAGAGCTGAAGCAAAAAGTTGATGCTTTTGAATTGTAAGTAATGTATGTTAATTTTGGATATTCAGAATGAGAYGAAAAAGATTTACAAGTGTATATATCCACATATTCTAATGTTAATTGCAAGTAGATTTCTTGGTTATAAAGGTGATATTATGTAGCTTTAAAAGGTACAAGTTAAAGACTAGGGTTTTGCTTATGAAATATTAGACCTTAAGGTGAAAAACAGGATGAAACACCATCATCAGGCTGCCATAAGACCAGACAGATACTTTGGAKAAGGTAATAATGCTTGAACACATGGTATGTTTTGCAGTTACTCATTCATTCAAGTCTGGTAGTTTAATGAATGTTGTGAATCCCAGATATCCAGACCTTCCTTATTTCCCTGTTGTGTACTCAGGAAAGGAAATAGGCAATCTGACTTGATTTGTACTAGGTGAAACTGTATCTCAAAATGTATGTGTTAAAATTACTTTTCCTAAATGTTCACAGTGTTTCATCTTTTAGATMTTACATGGGATTGATAGCAAGCTGAAATAACTTTTTTCTCCATTTGGAGTCTGCTGTTAATACTTGTAGATAATCTAGGAATCTTAGTACATTGAGGAAATTGTCTCCCTCTTCATTAATGTTGTTTTCTCACTTCTGTAGGCTAAATTCATTTTATTTCTATCTACCTTACTCTCTTTGCAGCAATACTGAAGAGRTAAATTGATCAAAAGAGAGAAAAGGAACAAAATTTGGGCAGAGGGAGTTCATGATTATATAAACCCATTTTTTTTAGCTGGGGATTAAATCAGGGCCTTTCGTGTGCTGGACGAGTGCTCTACCACTGAGCTGTACCCCAGCCCCTATAGTTATTTCTTTACCTCCACTTCCTCCACCCTTCCTTTCTAAGCATCTAAGTGAAGTAAATGTAGTTCACTGAACTGTGCCTTTCCAAATCAGCCAGCAGAGGGAGCTAATATGTGGMGCCTTTCCTGTGTTCTTGGACCAGTCAGGGTTCTGTAGTATGCTCAGTGGTACTTGTGAACCCCACCAGTTGACTCAATAATTKGTATTACTATTGACTTAAGGTCTCACTATGAAGACCATGTTGAGTAAAATCATACAAGGAGATAACTCTTTAGCATTTGAAAGCCCTGATCACTCTGTCTTGCTCTTTTGACACATTCTTCAGTATTCAATTGATAGATTATTAAATGATAATACAAATCTACCTGGGGCTAAGGTTGTGGCTCAGTGGTATTGCACTTATCAGGCATATGTGAGGCACTGGGTTCGATCCTCAGCACCACATGTGAGGCACTGGGTTCGATCCTTAGCACCACATATAAATAAATAAATAAAATAAAGGTATTGTGTCCATCTACAATTAAAAAAATTTTAAAAACACTGTTTTTAATAAAAATAAATGATATACCTTTATTATCTCTGGGCTAATGGATTAGATCCCACAGTTAGAGACAATATTATAGAAGAGACAAGCACTAAACTTGTGTTTGTGGGTTTTAGAAACATATTATAGAAGAGATAAGCCCATAAGCACAGTAACAAGTTTTTTAACTTTGTAACTAATAATATCATTCTTCTGTCCCACTAAGTTGGTTACAGCTGTTTATCAGTTATAACCAGTTTTTAATTTTTTAAATGAGTTTTAATTAGTTATACATGACAATAGAATGCACTTATGCACTTTGATATATCATACATAGATGGGATTTAATTTCTCATTTTTCTGAGTGCACATGTTGCAGAATCATATTGGTCATGTAGTCACATATATACATACAGTAATAATGTCTTTTCATTCTACTCTCTTTCCTATCCTATCCCCACATCCCTCCCCTCTCCTCCCATCACTTCCTTGTACCTAATCTAAGGTAACATTAGTTATTCTTCCCTAGTGCACCCCGCCCCCGGGCCTAACTGTGAATTAGYATCTGCATATTAGAGAAAACATAAAACATTTGGCCTTTGGTTTTGTGGGATTGGCTTATTTTGCTTAGCATGATATTCTCCAACTCCAACCATAGACTGGCAAATTCTATAATTTTACTCTTCTTTAAAGCTGAGTARTATTCCATTGAACATATATAACATATTTCCTTTATCCATTCATCTGTTGGGGGAACACCTAGGTTGGTTCCATAGTCTCACTATTGTGAATTGAGCTGCTTGCTTGCTTGCTATAAACATTGATGTGGCTGCCTCACTATAGTATGCTAATTTTAAGTCCTTTGGGTATAAACCAAGGAGGGTATAGCTGGGTTAAACSGTGGTTCCATTCCCCACCCCCAAAAGTGAACATATAACCCACTGTAACTGGYTTTTTAAGTGTTAATTACCTTCTTTGAGAAACTACCTTGGTCTTGATTCTTTCCCACTCCCCTAGCCAGGTGCCATTGTGCAGCTCCCTTTGCTAGTTCTGATGCACAGTAACTAGGTYAGTTTGTAAATATAGGGAGAACTTTTGGCTCTTTGCTTTTACTTTCCAGTAGTGAGCACTACAAAAGAGTTTGTCTGTTGAACTATAAATATGTCTTATTTTTTTCTTAAATTTGTTATCCTCAGATATTATAGTTTTTTTGCTTTGTATATTTTTGTTAATTTCAGGACCCAGAAACTCCAAGAAGAAAAAAATAGAAGTACTGCTGAAGCACTTAAGARACGAGAACAGAATATAAAGAGTATTGAAGAGAGCTATGATCAAAAGCTCAAGAATGAACTTCTAAAGTAATTGGCATTTTTAAAGAAATAATGTTTGAATTAAGTTGGTGGAGATGTTGCAAATGCTGATGAAAAAGATAAAGCTGACATTTTATGACTAAATTTAGTATTTTTTAAAAATGTCCTTTTTTTTCCAATTGACTAATCCTCTCTCATGAGTACTCAAGTTAGAATAGTTTTTAAAACACACATAAGCCAGGTATGGTGGTGCATGACTGTAGTCCCAGCTACTTGGGAGGCTGAGGCAGGAGGATTGCAAGTTCAAGGCCAGCCTGAGCAATTAAGTGAGACTTATCTCAGTTTTCTTAGAAAAGGGGTGCTGGGGATATAGCTTGATGGTAGAATGCTTGCCTAGCATGTGCAAGGCCCTGGGGTTCTATCCCTGGTACCAAGGCAAAATAATATGAAATAGAAAGTTACATCCTCTCCCCTTCTTACTCATGGTTTCTCTAACAGTTGTTGAAGGCCTATCATTTGCTTTATTATAAAGGCACCTTCTGACTTGCTCAGCTTATATTGCTGATCTGCWACAAAATTGGAATTATAATCACTTTTAGTTACCTTTGCCTTTACCTTACTCAGACTGCCACTAAAGTAGAAATTTCTGATGATTTAGAAATTATTCTACGTAGAGATTATAGAATTTGTCCATGAACATGTTTTATATTCCTTTAAGATTCTGCTATGTCAGAATTTTTAAAATGAAGCAAAAAGTGATAGGAAGMAGGAAATTATGGGCACCTGTGGTTACTTTGAGTTTTCTGTAGCCTGAATCTTGTGTACCAATAAATGCTATTTTAGTGCCAGGACATTACACCCATGCGATAACTTTGCTCAGGGGTGGTATTACAATTGGCACATAACTGTTTGGTGAGTATTTATTGAGTAAACATGTAGCAAGGAGACAATTCAACATAGCTGCTTGAGGTTTTTCTTAATAATTGGGCTCTTTTTACCACCTTGCCCATAATTTGTCATCAATAATCTCTTATATAGTGTTTACAAAGGCTTCTTGTAGTTGTTCTTTAAATGAATTCTGTTTAAAAAATACAGCAGATTTCCATCTGTTTTTTTTTTTTTTTGTGTGTGTGTGTGTGTGGCGGGGGGATGCTGGGGATTGAACCCAGGGCCCTGTGCATGCGAGGCAAGCACTCTACCAACTGAGCTATTTCCCYAGCCCATCTTTGAAATGATAGTTTCTCCACATATTTTGTTAGCTCATTTACTAAAATAGGAAGCACCGAAGTGTCCGAAGTTGTTGAACATGAAGAAAAGCATGTATATTGATTTTACATAGGAGACAGGGAACTGTGTGGTATCATTTTGGTATATTTTGTGACTTTGGCAAGTGTGGGAGTTTGGAGAATGTTTCTTTGCTCTCACATCTCTGAACCAGGAATGCAACTGGTAATGGCTGGTGAAGATAGGTAAAACTCCATGAAAATGTGCCTTTTGGTATCACTGATCTGGATGTAATGCTGTTAGGGGTCTCTCAATACTATGCTTAGAGCCTGAGGGCAGAGTGCTTATTCTGATTGGGGTTGGGAAGATGGAGCAGGTGGATCAGAAATAACTGCCTTGTTATCACTGGCGAGTTGGTTTGTTGTGTGCTTTGCAGGTTTAATTTAGTTTACTTCTTTGCTGTCTATGCTAGTCGAGACGAACTGAAAGTGATTGATTGCAGTAATCTCCAGTTAACATCCTTCATTTTGTGCGACTGAGTTTTGGGACCCAATTTACAGAATTAAGGCAGGGTTTTTACCTGACCTTTTATGTTTAGAATTCACATCCCTGGCCTTAATGCTGAGASACTTTGAAGTTTAGCATTGTCATGTTCAGCACCCTTAGGTGCTCTGTGCCAGAGATGATCTCTTACATTCATAGCAGTCCTCCTGGGGAGATGACAAGAAACTCATTTTTAGTCATTCTGATTCTCAGGTATCAACTTGAACTAAAGGATGAATACATCAATAGAACTAACAGACTGATTGAAGATGAAAGRAGGAATAAAGGTGACTCTTGGGGAGCAGGGAGGGGTTTTATTTTTCAGTTCTGATGTRGTCTGTTAGTTTCCTGAGTAGGGTSTGTTGTATATTCTAAAAATTTCTATAGAATTACATTTTTTGTCTTTCTAGYTTWATAAAATTTTTAAAATAATCATTGTCCTTCACTGACTTTTTGGAAATCTTCATGTTTAACATTTTGTGTATTCACAAAGATCACTAATATATCTTTAGTACTATATCTGATTTTATTTCAATATGTTTTGATCTGTGATTATCAAGAAGGTGACAGCAACTTATTGCCACCTGGTAAACATTACTCTTAACCATGAGAGACTTTAGATTTTACTTATGGAAATTTTTAACTTCTCTGTCCTCTGTGACCAAGGTTTGTTTTTGTTTTTTTCTTTTAATATATTTTKACACTGTATGGTATTTTTACTTGACATTCAACCTTATGAAACCTCATTTACATTGATCCAAGACTGTGGAAGTTGAATAATTTTAGAATTTTCAGATATTTTTCATTTCAGTGTACACCCAGGAAATTGTATCAAGAAGTTGAACTTTTGATGAAAATTTCATACAGTTTCTTCAGAGTAAATCAGAACTGGGTACAGGGTTTATTTCTTGCCCACTAAATTTTTACTCCTACATCTGCTAATTTTATTTATGAAATAATGGTCATTAAGTCTGGCAGACTGCCTTAAATTATTAAATGTCTTTTGGATTCATTAGGAAAGCATTGTTTAATTGCTGGGCTTTTTCTTTCAGAAAAAGCTATTCATTTGCAAGAGGAGCTCATAGCTTTTAATTCAAAAAAGGAAGAACTAAGTCAATCTATAAATCGTATAAAAGAACTTGAGGTAATTGTTATCCCCTTTTTTTGAAGCAGACTTTTGGCAGTACATGAAATTTTAGTTTTAGGCATGAATATCTTATCTGGATAGGTTTSGCCTGATTATTCTAGGACCAAGAAGGTGATGACTGAAGTTAATTCAATATTTCTTCATTTCAAAGTCCCATAAAGAAGTGAAGAAAGAGCTTTGGGTCCTAGAGTTCTGTGCAAATCTGTTTCTCACTGTAGACTTTAGGATATTTCCCACATCATATGGTTTTTGAGGGAATTCAGTGAGCTAACATRCATCTAGCCCATAGCATATAACTAATACATATCTGTTCTACCTCAGCCTCTTCTATYCCATTAGCAGCAGGTAAAAATTCCTATCATTATATCATTATCTTCCAAATTAAAACAAAATGAGGCATGTTTTTCGCATGCCACTGTTTCTTCTGTTCACTGGTATGCTTGCTTTTGGCAAGGTAGAACTGGAACTTTAGGTGAAGTATATTCTGTATATAAAATTTGCTTTTGTAACCATGATGATTTATTTGACAGTTGTAGGTTTCTATATCTTAATATCAGATATATTATACCAAGGAAAGGAAAACACTTCACAGCAAGTGAGAGACTACTACTGTCTCACCTCTCATAGTAAAGATGTGTTGCTACAATGTGTGTGATTGTCTCTGGGTCCTGGTTGCACTGGGAAAATAGAGTGATAACTTTCCTCAGAAGCAGTGTCTTTCTAGGGTCTATAGATACAATTTATGAACTTACCTTGTTCCAACTCCAGTATAGAAAACGACTTTTTTACCATAGTTAGGTCTTATGGTTGGAGAGAACTCAACCTCTAAGTTGTAATGCATAGCCTAACTCAGTCTTCTGGCTTTGACTTTTGTAGTAAAATCATTCAAATGTAAGTTTTCTTTTTTCATTTAAGCTTGAATTAGAGTCTGTCAAAGCCCAGTTTTTGACAATAACACAACAAAACCACTTGCTGAATGAAAAGATTAAAGAGATGAATGATTACTCAGTACTAAAAGAAGAGAAGCTAGAACTTCAGGCACAAAATAAAGTACTTAAACAACAACTGGAAGAGAATAAGAATGAAAATTTGAATCTCCTAAACCGTATGTCCTTTTTTTCTTTTTCTGATTTACCTATTTCTGTAATTRACATTAGGTCAGTGTTAAGAAACTCTGCATTGTATCTATAACACAGGCATAACTTGGGTAGATTTGATAAGATTCTGGCATTGGAATTCCATTGCTTGCTGTTGCATAGCAGTGTCACTTTAAGAAGGAACATTTTTTTTTAAGCTGTGCTGCCTTTCTGGGTGGTATCATGGGTGACTAYCAATTGGGTTTTGCCACTGGGGCAACAAGCTGCAACAAGCACTTGGAGGAAGGAAGAGGAGGTCGAGTTTGTTGATATCCCGCTGCCACCCCAACTTCTGTACAGCGGCCCTAGACTACCCACTGCTCCTGTCAGCTTAGCGAGGTTCAGTGTACCTATGGGTAGCCTCTCATCAGTGCTCTGCACCTGTGCCCACTCACTCTATCTACTTCTGTGAATGTCTTCCTTCCTTGGCCCTCCAGGCCCGAGGGGGTGCTAACAATATGACCCTGTTTCTAGTCCAGTGAACCACAGTATCCTTTTTGGTTACCTTGCATAAAGTGACCTACCTAAACATCTGTTTGCTTTCTGCCTGGACCCCAACTCACTGACAGTTGCTCAGGTCGAATSAGAGCTTAAAGTAGTTAGTCATCATTGGGTAGACAGCTAGAGGGCTTCTTCTAGGCSTTGTGTGCATGGCAGAGGATAGAGGCAGGCTTTCAATAATTCAAGGATTTGAAAGAATTCTTTCACTTGCAATAAAACTCCAAGAGTAATGAAGTGTGGTAACATTTATTAAATTCTTTTGTTCTGAAGCTTGTGAATCCGGATTGGTCTTGGTCTGCTAATGGAATTGATAGAATATTAACTGCATGAGTACAAAGAAAGGAAACAATTTAAAATCTCTTTAGCTACTTTTGTTAAGTGAAATAAAGTTGATAATGACCAGAATTTTTCTACCTTCTTAGGCATAGCTCAGCCGTCTCCTGAGCTTCTGGTTCTTCAGAAAGAATTGAAGARAGCAGAAAGTACTATAGCACTTGAGCATAAGGAGTTTGAAACTCATAGACAAGTTCTGCAAAAACAGCTGCAAAGTGAAGTGAGTATTGTTCTTCACTCATGCCAGTGTTACACCAGTCTACTTTATAGATACCTAAACTTTGCACAAGCCACACCAGCACAGATCAGATCTTTTAACTCTCAAGCTGGTTGCAGTAGCAYACATCTGTAATGTCAGCTACTTAGGAGGCTGAGGCAGGAGAATTGCAAGTTCAAGGCCAGCCTGGGCATCTTAGTTCCTTTCTCAAAGTAAAATAAAAGAGCTGGGGGTGTAGYTCATTGGTAGATCACCCCAAGGTTCAATCTCCAGTACTACAAAAAGCAAAAAAAAAAAAAAAAACACAACAACAAAAAAAATTACCCTCTGAATATGATAAAGGGTTCTTTCTCATCTGAGAAAATTCTCTAGTGATTATATGACTTCATATTCATAACTGTCTTTCATAATTGAAATAAAAGCTAACTCAAACATAAAATTTTCTGAGTGCATGATAGTACCATGTTAGTGTCTTGATTCCCACCCTGAGACTTACAAATGTTCACTGTGTCTTTCTGATTTCAGCCTGYATGCCCTAAAGTAGCTGTTCTTTGAATGAAAAAGGTAGTGAAAAATTCATTTGTGTGTTGTGTTCGTTTTTGTTTTTGTTTTTGTTTTTTTTAAACAGAGACCCATTGATTACTTGGTATAAAGCTTCCCAGAATTGGCAAAAAATAAGAGGATAAACACAATAAGAGATTTTTTTTTTCCTTTTGAAGCAAGCTGTGATGTGTTCTACATTGATTTCTTTTTTTTCTCTGAACCTTTTCAGATTGAACATTCTGCACAGCTAAAGGCCCAGATATTAGATTATGATGCTTCTGTAAAGAGGTTAAATATTCAAGTTGGTGATTTAAAATTGCAACTGAAACACACTCAGACAGGTTAGAGACATTTGTAAACCATAAATATTTTGGTGCATGAAAAGCTTCTGACATTTGTGGAAATGTAATGATTGTAATTTATTAACCACATAGTATTTCTTGTATTTCGGGGGAGGGGGTTCTTAGGAATAAGTATCATCCTACAGTGGGGGTGTGGCTTGGTGGTAGAGAACTTGCCTAGCATGTATGAGGTCCTGGGTTCCATACGCAGCACTGCCAAAAAAAAAAAGATGTGTACATTCCTTGAAGTAAACTTTTTATCTCAGAAATACCAGCTGATCACCAGAATGAGTGCTTTCATAGGTGCCCCAAATAGAAAAGTTGTGGTGGTAACACAGAAGTCACCAAATCCATCATAGGCATTCCTTTTTTTGTTACCCTGATAAGATTGATTGACTCTTCAGTAGTTTTACATATGCCTTAACAGAAATGTATATAAATATATGGGAGAAGCAGKTTGGCTTGGCAAAAAGAACACTGCTGCTCTTTTAGAGAATTGTTTTGTTTTGGACCCCAATTTTGAAGGTAATTGTTTGATTTTAGGTACAGTGCTCAGTTCCCCCATTTGTAATGAGGATGATAATACCTACCAGGCCATAGTAAACAAAGATGAAATGAGATGGGTTCCAATTCAGCTCATGGGACATAAAAGACACTCTGAAAATAGTTCCTGCTCTTTCATTAAAATGCCTTCTCTGTGGATGCATAWCTGTCCCTACTTCCTAAGAAGGATATTGAAGCTTAGATACTTTATTTTCCAGTTGTTTTCAAACTCAAAGTGTGTGTGTGTTACCAGTTCAGCTGGTTTCTCATGGTCCCTTTGGTCTGAGCCTTCCTTGCTTCCCACTTGCAATCTTTCCCTGTCAGTCCCTAGTAYTTTCTATCTTCACTAATTTTATTTCCATCTCTCTACTTTTTCCTATTTCTCATTTTTGCTTATCAATTCTGTTTGCCGCAGTGTCTAGAGCAAACTCATAGAAGTCCTGAATAACGAAAAATAATTCACTGAGCATAGAGCCCTTCTGCATACATATATTGTCTATTGCAAGCTTCTGTCTCATAGCATCATAGGGAGGCATTGTAGGAGAGGAGCTGGTACATGCACTGGCTTTGCTTTAGGAAATCCCAGTGGTTCTAAAACTTGCTAACTGTGTGATCCAGCCTCCAACCCCCATCTGTAAATGGGAGCAGTGAGAATTCCTTGGCCATAGTGTTGTCATGAATGAAATTCTTTTCCCTTATCTGAAACTCGACCATATGCTGTGAATTTTGCTACAGCYCTGGAAATTCTGGACCCACATCCTATTGTGAAGCACATTAATTACTTTGAAGTCAAATCTATGAATATTTATGCTGGTTGGGATTAATAAAGATTATGAATGAGTTTACATTGGTACCGATCAAGCTTTTCAACCAAATGAATTCAAATCTAGTTGTACTTTGCCACCAAATAAATTGTAAATAGATTTTTTAATTCTCAGAGCTTTTTGGCTTTCAAAATCATGCATAAAGRATTGTGAAATTCTATCTTATATTATAAAGGAACACATATGAATCTGTGACTGGTACATATAAGCTCTCAACAAATGTTAACAGTTCTTACCGTGGCCTCAGAAGTTGTTWAGTGTGAAGTTTGCCCTTTATTCTCAAGTATATTTTAATTTTGCTCACTGCCTTTTGTCCTCATTTTATAATCTGCAGCCCTGGAGAATGAAGTGTACCGCAACCCAAAGCAGTCTCTGAGCCATCGGTCTGTGAGTGGGCTAATAAGTGGCAAAATGGTGCCTCACAGTGGTGATACAAGCAGGGATTTCTCAAACAGCCCTCTTGGCCAGGAGAAGGTTATGGCAGTTGCAATTGTACCAAGAATCACAGGTTATCCAAATACAGGAAAAGAGGCTGGTTCCCCAGACTCTGACCTTGAGTTTGTGRCCAGTACAAAAGCCAGGGTAAAAGAGCTAGAGCAAGAGGCCGAACGCTTGGAGAAAGCTTTCAGAGATTACCATCGAAGAGTTCTTCAAAACCCGGTTAAGAGCCCACCACTAGCAAAGAGTCCACCGTCTTCGCACTTACGGGGAACCCTCAAAACTGTCACTTCTAGCTCCCTGGAAAGATGTGCTTTTACAGAAGACCRAGTTATCCCTGAGCACCCAGAAAGACGGATGTTGGCAGAGGACAGAGTTTTCTCTGGGCAACCTCARGTGGGCACACCTAACGAGGAAAAGAGTGCTGCCTCTGAGGCACAGACAGGCARCACAGCTTCGCGGGCACGCAAGAGTACTTCTTCCAGACGTCTCTCCTCCACGCCCCTTCCAAAAGCAAGAAGAAGCCTCAATAATGAAATGTATTTGGAAGGTAAGCTACTATCCAAAGGGTTACAGGATGCTTGGGAGTTGGGCAGACCTGGTCTTTCTTGAATATTTATACAGGTCCTAGACAGCAGGAAACAGTAGATAGCACATGTAGCAGTGAGCCTGGGGAGCCCTTGCTGGAGCAGCTGTAATTGCTCTGAACCTACCATCTCCTGGTTAATAATAGTGGCATCCCTCCCATGTCCCAGGGTTGTTATGGGAATCAGTGTCATAAAGGATGTTGAGATCAGGCTGGGGATGTAGCATGCACAAGGYCCTGCCTGGGTGCAATCTCAATACAGCCAAAAAAAATAGTCAAGATCTAGTGTTCACTTAGCATGTAGAGGTGTTCAGGGGGTGAGAGTGGCCATTCCTTTGCTGCTGGTCAGTTTTGTACATTTTAGTATTAACTCGAGAGTTATAATTTAAGTATTCAAATTGTTGCCTTTATGATCTGAAACATCGTACTCATATATTTAGAGATGATAACCTATTTTCACTAATAGAGCTTTTTAAAATCTAYGTTGGTGTCTTCTTCATGCAATTTTTAATATTCTTGCCCTGATTCTTTCTGCCTTGTAGGTGTGGGCAAATCACTTCTTGCTTCCCCCAATTCTTGTCCTGACAGAATGTCCCAGCCATCACCCGTGGAATCTGGGCATAACCTCTCTGCCCCTTCCTCCTCCAGCCCTCCAGAACAGAAGGCCAGGTATTGTTTGATGGCCTTCATTTGAATCATGTTACCTGCTGTCTCAGCCCTTTTTTTTTTTTTTTTAAGGAGATCTTAAAGATGATGTGATACTATAGAATTTGTAGTCAGATTGTAAAATCATGTGTGATCTTTGATAATCATTTGAATTCCCCCGGGGGGGGGGGTGTTATGTAATACCTTCCAAGTTCTGTGAATAGGCATGGTGTATAAAGAGATGTCTGAAATTTGTCAAAACAGCTAAGTTGGTCTATTTTTAAAGTTGGAACAATTTCATACATCATTAAAAAGCCATTTTTAAAAAATGACATTTAAATGTAAACAGATAAGGTTCTGATTTATGTATCATTAAAACAAATTACGAAGTGATAGTGGGTTCTAGAATATGATTATTGAAGCAGGAAGAAGTGGATGGTTTTGGAAATTAGGCCAGTGGGGGCAGGACTCCCATCTGTGCCTGGTCCCCACAGTAGGAAATTTGACTCCTTAGTTTTGGGTTTGAGCCTGGGCATCTGATGTTTATGTAGTTCTCCTGTATAAAGTTGAAAACTTACATGTACCTATCATGGACCTWGGGCATTTAATTTTTTAAAATATTGTACTGTCTTGTAATAAAGGCAAAAGGAAAGACCAGACCCACACRTAYCCTGAGTTRGTACAATTTGACACACACAGGCTCRTGGTATTGTATCTTCAGTTGGTTTGAGCTGGTGCTGTATGAAAGGTTGTCTCTTGTGGTTATTAGAAAACTAAGAGAACAATACCTTATGCCTGGTGAGTACTCAGTGCACTAGGGCTATATTTTAATAAGCCATAGAAAAATTAATTTTGTAAATTATTTTTTTGAGTCACAGACAGCTTTTTGTCATCCTCTGCTGTTAGGTTTTAACATTACTAAGAATTCACATTCATGAATTTTATTCTTCCAATCCAGTCTTCATCAGAAACAGACTGAAACTCAAGAAAAAAGTGAATTTTTGAATCTGGACAAGCTAGCTTTTAAGGATAATGAGGAATTTGAATCATCTTTTGAATGTAAGTTCAAATATAAGTACTGGTTTTTAAAAGTTAAAATTGTAGAAAGTTTAGTTTTAYTGAAACAACCATTATTATAAGCAAAGTAATTACAAACTAGGACATTTTTATTTTGTGATAAGACCAAAAATATGGATATATATCCTCATTTTTCTGTCATGAAGATTTTCAGGGGTTCAGCTGAGTTCTCTTTTTAAAAATTTCAGGATGACTCATCATTTTGAGGTTACAGGCTTAAGCCCATAAATGAATACTTAATTTACCCACTTTGGGATTATCTCAGATTTAAAATAAGTAGGTTTTTTAAAAAAATTTTATGGAATATAAAGATGTTGATTGCTCAGATTAAGAAAATCCCATCCTTAGTAAAAGAATGGAGGTAAAAGAATATTAAAATAAGAGTCCAGGAACATATGTCCTGGCTACAGCCTTTTCTTGGACTGTCTCACCACATAGTCCACTTTATAAGTATAAAATAGGATGTAGGGTCCATCTTTTCTGAGGCTTTCTCCAGCTTGGGAAATCTACTTGTATACAATCTATCATTTAACCTTATCAAACTTATCATCATCAAATCTGAAAATATCATATTTTGAACCATTAAATGAGATGCTTAGTAAATTTTGTGAAGTTCTTTTAACTGGCCAGTTGAATCTTCAATATTTAAATTGAATGGAAATGGTTTATCATCAATCAAGTGAACTCTTAAAACTGGATTGATTTTCCTGCTAGGTAATGAATCCAATTTTGTAAACAAATTTAATTTTTTTTTTAAGAGAGAGTGAGAGAGGAGAGAGAATTTTTAATATTTATTTTTTAGTTTTCGGCGGACACAACATCTTTGTTGGTATGTGGTGCTGAGGATGAAACCTGGGCCGCACGCATGCCAGGMGAGCACGCTACCGCTTRAGCCACATCCCCAGCCCAATTTTTTTTTTTTTTTAACATTTATTTTTTAGGGGTTGGGGTTGTGGCTCAGCAAGAGAGTGCTTGCCTAGTACCTGCGAGGCACTGGGTTCAATCCTCAGCACCACATAAAATAAGTAAAATAAAGATATTGTGTCCAACTACAGCTAAAAAACTTTAAAAAAAAAAAAAATTTTTAGTTGTAGGTTGACACAATACACTTATTTAATTAATTGATTTATTTTTTATGTGGTACTGAGGATCGAACCTAGCACCTCAAGAATGCTAGGCAAGCACTCCACCACTGAGCCACAACCCCAGCCCCAACAAATTTAATTCTTTAARGTATAAGAACCCTTTGGGCCCAATCACTAACACTGCAAAACAAAAACAAAAACTGCCTCAAGAAGTAAATATGTTGGCAAGTGACTGAGAATTTGTTAGAATCCTGGCCAGCCACAGTGGTGTGTGCCTGTAATCCCAGCAATTGAGGAGGCTGAGGCAGGAGGATCGAAAGTTCAAAGCCAACCTCAGCAACTTAGCAAGACCCTGCCTCAAAATAAAAAAGGGCTGGGGATGTGGCTCATGGTTAAGCACTTCTAGGTTCAATCCCTAGTACCAAAAAAGWRAAARAAAAAAAAAACATGTGGGAGGCTGAGGCAGGAAGATTGCAAGTTAAAAAAAAATTATTAGAATCCTGTAGGCAGGGCTCCCCTAGTCACTTTAGCTGTAGTTCATGTGTTCCATGGTTTAATCCCCCTGCCCTCCCTTCTCCTATTACTTAAGGACTCATGACACAATTGCTTGTACCTCCCATAGATGCAGGGAACAGGTCAAGACAGTTTGAAGCAGATGGGTTGCACCCTGCTGGTGATATGCCTCATGTGGATGCTGCTACAGCTACTCTGCCTACAAGACCTGTCCCACATCATAACTCMAGTAAGTTTTTCTTGTTTTAAACTAGCAGTTAGCATAGCCATATATTGAATGCCAGCCTCTGTGCTATATAAATTATTTCCTATATCATTGAAGGATTTTATAAGCATRACTTACTCAGTCTTAAAGTTGGAGTGTTATCATTGTTGATGGAGTTTTTTTTGTTGTTGTTTGTTTGTTTTTGGTGGGGTACTGGGGATTGAACTCAGGGGTACTCGACCACTGAGTCACATCCCAAGCCCTATTTTGTATTTTATTTAGAGATGGGGTCACACTGAGTTTCTTAGTGCCTCGCAGTTACTGAGGCTGGCTTTGAACTCTCAGTTCTCCTATCTCAGCCTCCCAAGCCTCTGAGATTAAAGGTGTGCACCACTGTGCCCAGCTCAGGAGAGTTGCTTTTTAAAAATGTTTTTTTACCTGTTCTGAGTCTGACAGAACAGTTACACTTTTCCATCATACACTTCTGCAAAAATCATTCTGTAGGAGCCTTAGCATCTTGGGAAACAATGTTGAACAACTGAAACAATGGTCAACTCACGTTCTCTATCTTTATGTGTTTGTAACATTTTAATATTATTATTTTTCTATCTGGTTGCCTCCATTATGTCTTAAGAGATTAGAACCTAAAAACTATATTTCAGTCTTGGGGAAAGCTGATAACACTAAGGTGATTGTGTTGTGGGGCAGGTCACTCAGAAAACACACCAAGTCCCAGTTTTGTCCAAATTGAAGACTCTTTATTTAGCCGGCCGGCTGGCAAGTATTTCCCACAGGGCCCATAACTGTCTCTGCAAGGAACAGGCCCAAGCCTGAGCATTTTAGGATATTTAATGGCAAAAACTGCATCTGGGTTGACATAGCTGCAAGCAAGCAGGTACAGAAGCTGAATTGGGCAGTTGGCAAGACAATGCATTGTGTATGTACATTGGTATTTCCCACGGAACTTTCCAGGTTAGCATAGCAGCAAGCAAGCAGAAGGGAAGTGGGTCAAAATGACTCTAGTTCAGTACAAGTTAGAGAATGGTTACTAATGTGTAGATAATCAATCTCTGACAAGGTACATTGCCCAAGAGAAATGGAAACCAAAGAGAACAATTTTACATTGTATAAGAATTGCTATTTTGTGTTGCCAAGTATGWTATGCTAGGTAACTATTAATGGGTTCAGAGGCGGGGCTTTCCCATGGGAGAAGCATTTCTTACATGATATGGAGTCTCAGGATAAAATGGAGTCTGTTTGGTCACTGGCCCATAACAATTGGTGCTGGAGGAAAACTGGCCATTAGACTTCTGTCTGCCCATGTCTCTCCAGCTTACCCACCTGCCTCTCTGGTGGAGGGATCAGGGAACAGTACAGCCTGGGCCTTTTCTCCTTAGTCCAAAATGTTTAAGCCTCATACCTGAAAAGAAGTGTCTCAAGTAAAGCTACCTTTTAGTCCTTCCCAAACATATTCAAAGCCTCTGGTTAGCAGTTTCTCAATTTAAATCACAGTGCATATGAAGAAGTACTGAAAGAAGCAAGACTTCAAGAGGGTTGATTTTGCTGACTCCTGAGTAAATCTGCTTTGAAAGGCATTCACTCAACCAGAATTGATCCAGAGCAATCTCTCTGTGGCACTACTCTAGASACCAGGCATAGAGCAGTGAACCAAACAGAGCCCCTTCCTTCATGGAGTTTCTAGGGGTTGGGGGACCCAGGAAGTCAGCAAGCCAATACTGCGGCTCTGAGGAGGAATTGTACCAACTGATGAGGGGCAGTGTCCATATACACAGGCCTGAGTGASGGAGGAAATCAGTGAGCACTAAGTGTTCTGCCTTGAGACACAGTGGTGATCATAATAGTTTTTGAAATAATTAGTAAGCAGCATGGTTGTTTGGGTTATTCCCCCCTCCCCCGTGGACACAACATCTTTATTTTATTTTATGTGGTGCTGAGGATCGAACCCAGTGCCCCACACATGCCAGGAGAGAGCGTTACCGCTTGAGCCACATCCCCAGCCCCAGTTGTTTGRGTTATTGAGAAATACTCTTATATTCATCATTTTACCTCTTTAGTTCAAGCAGAGGGAAATGAAGAACCTGAAACTTTGTGACTTTGAGGTGCCCAGTGAACATGCTTCTTGTCCTGGCTTTTGCGTCCACCCTGCAGCTACAAAATACACCCCCAGAACAGAGAGCAGCCCTTTTTCTTCTTTGTTAATTGGCCCCAGACAACATTCCTATTTTGACATCACAACTGTGTATAGGAAAGTGGTAGCATTTAGAAGTGACCTTTCTTTCACCAGGAAGGAGGACACTGTAGTTCTATCTGTGGAAATGATTAATGGCCTGCTCTCATATTTTAATTTCATGGCAAGGATTGAGAGATRCCCATGTTGCCTTTCYRCCATTAGTAAAACTAACTCAGTTCCTGCTGACAACTTCAGGACAAGGCACAGCAAAAAGCTTTGAAGTCCTCTAGTGAACCTGTGGGTTTTTCTGCTTGTTGGCATTGCTTGGGTAAAAATATGTAGGTTGTGGGCCAGAGTTAGAAGAGAAAGACCAGCATGGTCATCTGTGGGATTGAGATTTAATTAAAGCTTCGACATGTAGGGACTTATGCCAGGAGCTGGAGAGAGGGGCCAGACTAGTAATTAAAACATGGGCTTTGCCGGGAAGGAACTTAATGGGAGGAGAGAAAAGTACTCGTGATTTTTGACAAAGCTATGCAAGAAAGGTGCTGAACTGCTTACTTGTCCTCCTCAGAGGAGGTGGCATTTAAGTTGGTTCTCAAACAGCATTGTGGTTTTGTGGGAGAGGCAGGGGTTGGGGGAAGGGTGTGCCTCAGGTTAAGGAAACCGTSGGGTGGGGGCAAAGGCACAGAGAGAGGAGAACACAGCTGCAGTTCGGGTCCATTGTGTGTGTCCATACATATACTGTTCTCATGCTCAAAGGCAGTAGTAGATGGGAAGTAGGCCTGAGAAGAAGGAGGCAGGTTTTTCTTGCCCCTAGACTGTCRCGGGTTTGGACTTTGCCAGAGTAGAGACATTACAGGCAAATCCAGGGCTTCCCTGAAGGAAATGCCTAGTGCTGAAACTCACAGYAGGTTGAGTGTTGATTGCATTATTCAGTATTCCCTGGAAGTGGTGAGAAGGAAGGACCCTCTCTATCAGCAGGATGAGGAATTTGAWTCTGCCAGCCCTGGTGGCTCAATGGACAGACAGTAAGAAGAGCATGTCTGCTTGCTTGTTTGTTTTTACAACACAGGGTCTTGATGTGTTGCCCAAGCTGACTTCAAAGTCATGGGCTCCTACAGTCTTCCTGTCTCTTTGCCACCCAAGTAGCTGGGACTACAAGCACATGCCACTGCTCCTGGCCTAGAAAGGGCATGATTAAAGGGCTACCAGTACTTCAGGATGAAGCCCATGCTGTAGGATTTCCACATGCTTTGGCAGGGAATCCACTGGAAACAAGCATGTGAGGCTGGGGAGAGTGTGGGGCTAGAGAAAGACAAGGGAATGATCAGTGCTGATGTGATCACTAAAACACCAGGAAGGGCCACCATCAGTGTAGAGCAAGCAAGGACTGAACAGTGTAACATGGCTAGAACAGCCAGGGGAGAGTGGGGGGTTTGTTGTKTCCTCTTTGGGGTATCAGAGACCTGAATATGTTTATGGGAAGAAAAAAGAGTTAGGAAACTGCTGCATAAATAAATAGAGGCTAGTGGTTCAGTCTGGGTCCTGAAGATAGGGGTGGAATCCGAATCAAATGCAGAGGCAGAAATGCAGGATTKCAGGAGAAAGGCCGAAGGAGGGAGATAAGTAAAGGAAGAGAAAACATGGCACTCAGGGAGGACAGTTGGAGTCCTTCATGGTGAAGGTAAGTCATACTTGTCTTGGGCGAGTAAAAGGTGAGGTGAGGGGCTAGGAATGTGCAGGGGYTTGCAAATCATGAAAGTGTAACAGCAGCAGCTTGAAGCAGGTCAACAGTCCACGAGAAATCCAACAAAACAGTCCCATAGTCATTAGAAAATCTGATGCTGGAAGCTACTCACTATTTTATGTTCTGTTAGGTATTGATCAGAAAGAACTTGRAGAACAAAAGGAAGATGAAAAATCATGGGAGCAGCAAATGAAAGAACGAAGGCAAAGAGAAGAACAAAGGCAGAGTGAACGGCAAGAAGCTCTAGAAAGGGAACGAAGAGAACTGGAAAAACTGGATCAGGAAAGGGTAATATGTTTGGCTTAAGTCTCTGTAGTAGTTTCTCCATTGAATGCCTTCAGAAGGTACCTGGAGCTCAGAGGTGAGCCAATGGTGTCCAGAAATCCTAAGTGGCAGGTAATGGAAGAGGCCTCCCCTCCTCTCCTTGTCATACTATCACGAGAAAGGCTGGAGAGCATACACCTTCTGAGTGTGATGATAAAGGATGGCTCTGTGGGGGGGGGTTAATGTTTGTTTATTTATTTATTTATTTTAGTAAATTTAGTAAATTATAGTTGGGCACAATACCTTTATTTTATTTATTTTTATGTGGTGCTGAGGATTGAATCCAGGGCCTCATATGTGCTAAGCAAGCACTCTACCGTTGAGCCATAACCCCAGCCCAAGGATGGCTTTTGAAAGCATTTTTTGCATACGTGCTCATCTGATCTTTAAACTCATAGGGCTATGAGGTAGACTATGTTTTGCTGTGGAGCTTCCCTTTATAGATGGGGTTTAAAGAAGAGGCTTCCTAAGTCAGCTAGCTAGGACTAGAAGAACCAGGGGAGACAGGTGCCAGGCCCCAACTGCTTCCAGACATACATAATTCCCATAGTTCTCTTTTTGCCTTCTGTGGCCTGATTTTAGTCCTAGGCAGATGGATTACTCTGGCCATTTAGCATGCTTGCCAAGTCTTGCTTAAATTAATCTTCCATATGAATGTTCCCTGGAYTCCTGGTTAATTTGGGTCTAAAAGCACAGTACACTTTAGGCAAATTAATGCCTTCCTTCATTGGGATGTGTTCATCTCCTTTTGATGGTAGCAGTGACTTTAATTTAAAGATATATATTTTATAATTATATTTATGTGTATATTTTTATATATGGTACTCTAGAATGCAGTTTTACTTTACAGGATCAGGTTTAWAGTACTATGGTTTTTAAACACTGAAAACTTTTAAAATATATCTATTTCCTCTTTGGGCCCCCATCTATTTTATAGAGAATGATTGAAGAATCACTGAAGATTGAAATGAAAAAAGAATTAGAAATGACTGTTCAAGATGTGAGAGACAAATCTACTCATGGAGAAAATCCTTTAGAGAAATATATGAAAATCATCCAGCAGGGGAAAGACCAAGAGTTATCTGCAGATAAGGTGCCTATGCTTTGGAGGGGAATSTAGGTGACAGAGGGGTTGGGGGATGGCACCAAGGGCTTCTGTGATTTAACTCCTAGGGACAGGAATCTGTTTTCTTTACTGAAGACAAAAAGTATTAAAAGTACAGAAAATCCACACTTCAAATGGGCCCTCAACCCTTCAATATATTATGCTCTTTTGGCAAAATTTCATAGTTTGTGTTTAGGTAGAACATTGAAGAGATTTTGCTTTAAGATTGAATTRTAGGTATTGAAAGTGTATACCAGTTTATTTTGATGTGCTGCTAAGTTTCCTGTTTAAAAGTCAAGTCTTTTGAGACTCAACATTGCAAAAATACTTCAGAGAAATCAAAATGTTTAATAAAATTAATTCATATCTAATTTCAAAATTCTTTTGTGTCAGAGCTCAAAAAAGATAACCRGAGAATGCTCAGTAGTGGACACACTGCTATCCAGTGACAAGGATGAAAGGTATGGTTTTCCTAAACATTGCTCTTTAGCAAACCATTAGTGCTCATTTTGTCAGCCCAACAGAAATGGTCAGATACTTGAACTTGCCTTTAAAAAGTTGAACTGGGCACTGTAGCCAGGGGAGGCTGAGGCAGAAGGATTGAAGCCAGCCTCAGCAACTTAGTAAGACCTTGTCTCAAAATAAAAAGGGGCTGAGATGTGGCTCACTGGTTATGTGCCCCTGGGTTAAAAAATGATAGTGAATTTTTTGTTTTTTTTTTTAACTTGTGATGTTGATCCTGACACAAACTCTGAGAGCAAAAACCTTCCTCGAGGAAGGATGAGAACTTTAGGAAGGAATCATAAAAGTGTCTAATTTTTGTTCTTTCCCTAATTTAGTTCCACAGGCTTTTCTCATGAAGAACCAGATGACATTTGGTAATCATGTTAGCTGCCCAGACTTCCCACATACAACAATTATGTAAMCCCTCATCCTTTCCAAATGTTTCTCTGTAACCAGATAAAATTCTTAATAAAAATTGTATTAATCCACTGGAGTGGTTTTTTTTTTAAACTAATCAAGTGAAATCTCTTCTCCAGCCATAGTTTCTCATTCATTACACTAAAATGAACTCTTTCCCCCCCCCTCCCCATTTTTGTCTTGGGTTATACTTATCTTACTGTGGTTGAACTACAGGCCTACATTTTGGAAGTTCAAGTCCTCTCCAAAGTGAGGCTACCACATATAGAACAGGAGGTTATCTTCCCCAATATGCTCAGGTTTTTCCTCTGATATAAAGTCAGACTTTTCCATTCTGGGGTCTAGAAATWACACATCTACTATGGTTTGAATGTTTGTCTCTCCAAAATTCATATGGTGGAACTTAACCCCAATGTGATGAGGCTAGAAAGAGCTAGAAGGAACTAAGTAGGCCCTTTTGCCCTTCCACAGTTTGAATACGGCATTCATCCCCATTGGGGGGGGCAGCTTGGAATCTGAGACCAGACSGCGAACATGCAAGCCCGTTGATCTTGGACTACCCAGCCTCCAAAAGTGTAAGAAATGCATTTGTTCTTTATAAATTACTCAGTCTACGAGATTTTGTTACAGCAGTAATAGAAGRCTGAGATAACATCTTTATTGTGGAATCTTTGGTCTATTTTTGTTGGGGGAAGGGGTACTAGGAATTGAACCCAGGGGCACTGAGCTAAGTCCCCAGTCCTTTTTGAGGCACACTCTTGCTAAATTGCTAAGGCTCGAACTTGCAATCCTTCTGCCTTAGACTTCCAAGTTGCTGGGATTGACAGGTGTATGCCACCATGCCCAGCTGGTCTTCATTTTTAATGAATATACTTGTTGGTTTTTAAATGAGTAGATTCTCCCCAGTAACTCTAACTTTTCATCTCCTAAAAGTCAARTTTTACAAGATGTAATTAGAAAAATCTGTCCCCCCAGAGGTTTCTACGTTTGGTGGCCCGATTACTTTGAATAATTAAAGAGACTGCTTGTGATCTTATCAGACCATAATTTAGTTTATTCAGGAGACTCACGTGACTTATGTTAATTGTACAAAATGCTGTTTAAACAGAAGGTACTATGTACGGTGACAAATAGCAGGCTAATTGGGCTCCCACTTGTTCTCTGCCGGGTGTGAGCCAGGCGTGAATGAAGGGCGATGATCCAGAGTCAGCACCTCATTTAGAATGTCAGTGTGTCAATAATGACAAAGGCTGGTCCTCACTGAGAAAGGTCAGGTGTAGAATATCCAAATGCATAAGCATGCTGACAGATTAGTTTTAAAAAATTATAAAATGAAATCCTAGTAACAAATTTAGCTCTGCTGCTTCAAAAAGTAACTGTTACAACTAGATTGTTACATTTCCAAATAAATTCTTCTTTCACTCAACTTCCATACTTTGGGTTTGAAAATTAGCCAAGGGTACATGGACCCTAACAGGATCCCCATTTCTACTTTGCCCAAGAGTAAGCCTTGTGTTAATCTTATCAGTAGATGGCTTTTATTTTATTGAAGAAGCTAGTCAGAAAAATTCTATACTTTTCATTCATAGAACTCTATAAAGTGCTAGTGGCATTTTATGCAAAATATAGCCCAGTGGATTCCAATGTTTTCTTAAAATGCTCTCGCTGAAGAGTTTTGTCAGAAATAAAACAGCATTCTTAGATTTCTATGCAAATGTGAAATCTTGATAATGCATATTTWAAAATGACACCATACTGAGGACAGAGAAAGATAGGATTTATGTATGGTAAAAAGGCAAGCAAATGAAGCCATAATTTTATTTCATTATTCTTAGTACATCCACAACTATTTCCACCTAAATAGATCTTTAAAATAAGCATACACAAGTATTGACTATTATCTACAAATATTTATTGTAACACTTGAATAGAACTACAGGAAGCCCTTGGCACTGATAGAAAATATTGATTCACTGTTAGGTTACAAAAATTTATACATAGCAAAATTTAATGCTCTTTACATAAAAAATATTAGACTACTTCAACAAAACTTTCAAAAATTCCTGGTAATAGCTACCAGAATTAGAAAAGTAAAATTAGGCTTTAGACACTGCCTCTTCTAAAACACTGGACTCTAACAGCACCTCCACTGCTGGAAAAAAAAATATATATATATATTTAAGTCTGTCATGCAACAGGGAAACAAAACACTAAGCTACTTTGGAACTGTTCTACACAGAAGAGAGCTTCTTCCAATTTAAAAAACAAAAATCCAAATAGGCATTTTTAGGCATGAACCAAAAAAAAAAATCCAAATGAAATATTATACTTGATGTTCAATTTTAATARCATCTTGATAAAGGTATGCTTCCTTTCATTTKAATACATTTCTGCACATGTATGTTTTTAAATCCAGGAAACAGCCAAACCACAAGTTAACTCTTAACATGAATATACATAGTTAACCCTATAGTATGCAGCCCCTTTGAAAAGCACTGATGCACCCAACAGCTATATGGATCATTTCAAAAAGAACAACACAAAGTTTACCATCACTAAAACCCAGGACCTATAGTCACTTAATGTTCTGGAACACAATGACTTAGAAGGCAAATTTCTTTTGAAATGGCTTAAACTCAAGCAGTTTTCTTGCCGAACATTAAACATTATTCCAGGAAACCAAGATAAGAATTGAAATRAAATAAATACCAACCCTAACTTAAATTATGTATTCAAGTCTATAAAAGTAGGAGGTTAGAGGTCAATTTGCAGTTAGGTTTTTGATAGTTGGTATGAAACTGTAAACTCACCATTCAGACCACTTACAAATGGTTTAGAATGGTGRTCATTTTAATAAGGTAACACTTCTTAAAAATATTTGTGGAACAAAATTCTGAGAAGGAGTTTGGGGCCTCTGGTTATATAAATTCTTAGAAATTTCAGGCAAGTACTCATTAAGGCAGAGCTGATGCTTATTTCCCAAGAAGAATGAAAACTGTCATCATTGTGTAAATGAAATTATTATAAAACTGATTCTGGAAAGCTTGTCACCAAGTCMGAATTCAGCTTCTTCTGTGTTAGGTTCAGCACAATTGTTGTAAGCTCTCGTTTTGYAGTATTTTTGAAAAATAGGTTTCTCATTAGCTGAGGAAATCARTGGGTCCTGGAATTGAAGAGTGCTAATTTGTTTTTTAAAGTCAGTCATAGGAATCACATTATCTTTGAGCCCAAGTTAAATAAATGTCAGCTGTCAGAACTGGAACTTTACACCAATTCCATTTTATTTCCTATGTAGATTTTATTTTTTGAGGGCAGATAGCATGTGTGAATTTATGGTCACATCCCTTGATGCTGGCATGTCATAGGTCCCTATCAAGGAGTATGATGTATTCCCATTGCCTGTCTTGATAGAACTGCTCTAGCAATAAGTACACACATGCCACAAATTTTCAAAGGATGAACAGTTTGTCAAAAGTGTTGCCTTTTAAAATGGCTGACATGAAACCTCCAATATTTGTCCTAAAGAAAAAGATTTACCCACTGGAAGGTTTTCCTAGAGTACATCCCAGTAGCTTGAGACAGACAGTGAAATGTTGGTACGTCTACATTAGTTTGGTGGGATACACATCTGTACTGCAGAGCAGCTGATGATTTGTCAGAGCTGTAAAATCGTCGGCAGAAACACTCTGGCAAACATTTTATGTGTAAGAATTGAGTTGTTCTTTTGACCGAGACTGGATATCTTGCAGTTCCTGTTCTTCCTTTGCTTTGATATCCTGGTAAGCCTGCATTTTGCTCGCATCCTTTAAGTAAGCCCAGTTAGAAGACAGTATCATGAGGAAGTGGATCTGGAAAAGAAGGGTGAGCATGATGGCTAGTGAGCACGTGAGAAGGCAAAGCAAGCTGCTAGTCAGATTAGATGGACTCAACTGTAAAGGGGCAAGGGTTATTCGGTATTAATACTCATTCTGCTAGCAGAGCTGTCAGACACAGAGCATGCTCTACTAGTTGGCTTCATATTAAAAGGCTGAAGAAAAGTTAGTACACAAATATAGTGAACTTGGGGGGGGGAAATGGCCGAAGTTATTGTTAAGAAAAAGCAAAAATGAAACAAAAGAGTGCTTTTTACCATTTTGAGGATAACTGTAAAGACTAATGCAGAAGTTCAGAAACCCGTTGTGTTTATTTTAATTAAGTATAATGCAAAGATCTTTTCCACCTGTAGATAAAAAAAAATCAATTCCCCCAAAGACCTAAAAGTGTGAACAATGTTTATTTTGAGTAATTAAACTACATATTTAACATGGAAAAATTAAATGTCAAAACCGAAATTAAGAACTATAAGCAAAGCATGCAGTTTCTTAATTAACAAATTTTTAGTAGTGAAACTATTTTTCATTTTATAACTGCCATTATTTCATTTCACAAAATGTAAAAATCCTCATTATCCTTCTTTACAATTGATGTGGCACATACTTTCCCATTTTCMCCATATTTCCTGCAAAATAAATCTTATTTCAATTTCCTTGTATTTCTTACTTCCTTCACAACATATTTGAGACCTTCAGATTCAGGCCCAATTTCTCTTCCCATTAAAATCTTACATGCCATTTGACAACTAGCTATGAGGAAACARTTACTACTCACCAAAGGACAACCATTTAAGGTTACCAATTTTGTAGGCTCTAAAGGAATGATTGTGTTATGAAAAAAAATAATAATTCATAGATCCTTTTTCAGAGAAATTAGATGGGTGACACCCTTTTTCTTCAAATTTTCATCTGCTTTATTTGTGGGGGCATTTATTTGGTAGTGAACCATATGATCATAAAAAGTTGTTTTAAGTCAAATTTAAAATTTGCAAAATATCTTCTACAGTAACAAAACAAAATCCAGATTAAAACATTTCTTTTCATCTTCAGCACTTGTTCGCATTTTCATCACTGAAAGTGGTTTATCAAGCAAGCATAAGTAACGGAAAATGCAGGTATGTCAAAGCATTAATACTTCACTTAGATACTGCTCAACGTTTCTTTTCAAGAAAGTTTTTGAAAGGATGCTCACCAATGTCAGTAAGTAACTGAATGCTTTTCAAAATGTGGAAATAGCCACATCATTATTTTGTAATTCATGTATAGTAAGTCATATTATTCTAACATGCRAATGAGTTAACTGAAGCTATTTACAAATTACTGTAACAAAACTGCAGAAACAGACTCTGCTTTAGTCTGAAGTGTCAGTGATATTCACGCTACACAGTAGAGCTCTCTAAAGCTCCTTATTGGCCTTATGCAATTTAGAACTTAGTGCAGCAATYTTCCCGACTCTTAAACTTCAAAACCGCATAGTTATATGTGGTAGCCATCATGTAGATCAGCTGGTGGAAGAGAACAAAACAGGACAGTAAGATACAGGCAGTGAGGGCCGATGTCCCAACACTTCTAAGCTTGGGCAGGRATGGATGCCAGCTCATAGTCTACGGTGTTTCTTTTTGCCCCACTTCCAATCACAACAGATGGTTTCCACATCTAGCACACAAACTTTTTCTCATCACACATATACAATGTTAAGTCCTTGGCTCTACCCTCAGTAAGCTTATTAAAAAGCCTTGGATGTGTTTCAAGAATAATAAGATGAAGAGCTGGGTCAGCAGCATGAGAAAGATCAAGTTCAACATCTTATTTCCCCTCATCTTTCCAAAACTGCCTGCTCAGCAGCAATTAGTTCTCTTCCTGCCTGTTGCTCAGCCAAGAGAACAAGTCACCACCATGAATTCATAAGTTGTGCTTTTCKTAGTATATCATGGGAATGAATGACTTAATGGTTAGAATAACTGGGAATGAGTCACTTCTGAGCATCTGAGATCTCCCCTTGCTCTACCAATCTTTTTTTTTTTTAATTTATGTTTTAGTTGTAGTTGGACACAATACCTTTATTTTATTTAAGTTATTTTTATATGGTGCTGAGGATCGAACCCAGGGCCTCWCATGTGCTAGGCAAGCGCTCTACCGCTGAGCCACAACCCCAGCCCCTGCTCTGCCAATCTTAATTGGTTTTCTTCACATCACAAACCAAGTAGCATCCCAAAATTACACACATAAGGCCTATGTGTTTTATACAGTTGATTTTTATGAGCAGATTCCTAAAAATAAAATTTGCCTGCTGACTAAAATTTATTTGTGACCAAAACAATAGGCACTTGAGGCACTTCCTTAGTCAGTGGACAAGCACAGAGCAGTATAAGATTTGAGCTGAGGTTGAACAAGGTGACACTCTGCCACCTTGTTTCAGCTCAGACTGTAAGCAAGTGTCCTTGTGAAGGTCTAGCAAGTGCTGCCATTTAAGATGGCTCACAAGTAGACTGTGCTGTGCCTCAGAGATAATCTGCGTGTTAGACTTCATTCAGGCATGAGTGGTGGTGCTGTTGATTCATTAATGTTGAATTCATGGCCAACAATATATATATATATATATTTTTTTTTTTTTTGGAGGGGTACCGGGGATTGAACTCAGGGGCAGTCAACCGTTGAGCCACATCCCCAATCCCCAGCCCTATTTTGGATTTTATTTAGAGAAAGAGCCTAAGTTGCTTAACACCTCGTTGCTTAACACCTTAACCGAGTTGCTTAACACCTCGTTTTTGCTGAGGCTGGCTTCGAACTCTTAATCCTTCTTCCTCAGCCACCCAAGSCACTGGGATTACAGGCGTGTGTCACCACGCCCAGCAACAATATATATTAAAYAAGGTGTCTTTACACTAAAACACACAAAACAAGGTTGTGTACTGACAAGTTGGTGAAGATATGACCAGAGGCTTATATCAACCCTACTCTCTATATTCCCCCTTAGGGGCCTGGTTCAATATTCAATATTTCAATGTTTGAAATGACTTTATAGAACAGAACTACCACACATATAATGAGATCAATCATATATGTATACATCTGTATATATATGCATATTTCCATATGCAAGTGAAGATTTCTTTACAAAGAAATGGGCAGTGCCTCACTTGAACAACTGTCCATGAATGAAGTCATGATACTAAGTACTAAATTGAGCATGCTAGGCCCAGTCAACCAGTGTTGGTACCCTCTCTTCTTTCCAGAGTCCAAATTATATCGCTTACAATCAATACCAAGGCAGCCACTACTACTTCCTATAAACTAGACATGAGGTAAGTTTATACGAGGTAAGTTTACCCAAGGCTGAGTGCCAGGATCCTTTGCTTCAGTAGGCTGGCAAAAGCTGGAAGGGAAATCTGTCATTTAGAGGCTTGGGGGAGGGGAGCTAGACTAGGGTGGTCCTGATGCACTTACTCACCAGGGCAATGACGGTGGCGCCAGCTCCAGCACAGGCCACAATGAACAGGTGATAGGACATGTAGAACTAGGAAAGAACAGGCAAGAGCATAAGCATTTTCTGTGGACTGCATTGTCTATACCCATTTTGGGATGCTGCCTCATCCTTCTTGGTACCTATTCTCCAAAAGGCTGGAAGCAAGCTTGTGTTCCCTTTGAGCTCTGGCTGCACGTTGGAATCACCTGGGAAGCTTTAAAAACTTTCTGATGTCCAGGCTGCACYCCACACCAATTGAATGTGAACACCTAGGGGTTGGGCCTCAGCCATCAGTATATTTTAAGGCTCCCTGGTGACTGCAGTATGCAGCCAAGGTTAGGATAGGAGACTCTGCTTTGAGCCAATCCATTTTAGGGTAGGGGCTGACTATTCCCTTAACTCATTGTCTTTCAAAAACACATCACATTGGTGTTTTCTTAACTATGCAAGTTCCCACAGGTGCATTTAAGAATTTTGCTTTATTAACAATTACAAGCCCATGTCTAAAGAATATTGTAGGATCAAGATAATTTAAAACCAAAGTCTTATGATATATTGCCAGTTAAGGATGAGTGTATAAGGAAATAACAGCAAGTTGTTCAGGAACCTGAAATGATTAATGGTGAACTCTAATTAAAAACTTGGTATATGCACAAATTCAGGAGAAATTTTCTATGAAAATTAATTGGTATTTTTTCTGTGACAAGTATTCTTTTTAAAAATTTYCAGAAAGAGAAGAATCAATTCTCAGATTTGTAGATTTGGGATCACTCCTAAATTACTGACAGAAGGRAAAGCTCATCAGTTCCTAAGGCCCTTCATGGAATGGGCTGGAACATATGAAATGACCATYTTTGTAGGCCAAAACTGATTGAATAGTGATGGTAACAGAGTTCACTAAAGAGTCTGCATAAAAGAGCTG